GGAGCGGAGGAGCCCGGCAGGGAGGGTCCCCAGCCGGGACGGGAGCGGGCGCGGGGGCCGCGTTTCGGGAGGGCGCGGCTGCGGGAGGGTTCGGAGCCGCCGGAACGCGGCAAACGCGGGCTCGGAGCCCCGGCGCCGCTGCGAGCGCCTCCCTGCCCGGCCGCGGGGCCGATGGGCGCCTCCCTGCCCTCAGGCACCGCTCGGGGCTGCGGCCGCATCTGCCCCGGCACCGCGGAGCATCGGCCGCTCCTCGGGCCCAAAGGGCTCCTGCGCCCGCGGCATCGGAGCGCCCGCGGCCTCTGCCTTCAAACGGCACCGCAGAGCCGGGCACGGACAGCGCATCCCCAATGGGGAACGGGGAAAATCACCCASAGATCGGCCGGGWCACAACAAAGGGAACAGGAGCGAGCGGCTCACCCTCAAAKGGGAAGGAACACTCMSAAAAGCCCCAAARAMACRAATGCCYGTGGCTTAGAATGCRARAGGGAAGTGGGGAGACATAAATCAGAAGCCCGTTGCAAYGTCCGGGGCCTAGTTACCTGAACAAAATGCTGCACAACTGCTGGGATTCTGTAGGGATGGATAATTGCCTCTCCTACCATGTAATCAGTCCTTGTTAGGTGCTGCATATTTATCTTCCAAAAATTGCTCTGGAGTTATGATTAGGAAGTGCTAAAGAAAGCCTCACATTCTAATGCAGTTGCCTCTGTCCGTTTGATAAGCAGAATCAGCTTTTAAGCCTTGATCCTGATGAAGATCCTTGAATTCTTGAATTGGTTTTGTTTTTTTGTTGGGTTTTTTTTTGTTGGTTGTTTTTTGTTGGGTTTTTTTTTGTTTATTTGGTTTTTTTTGGACGCATATGTCATGCCTAGTTAGGGGATCTAAGGGAAATTCCCTTTATAACAGATGTGGAAGAGACTGGTCTTCAGTCAGCAGCTCGACAGTGAGACACAGCTGAGCCATTATTGATCACAAAAGAATCAGCCCTGAAATATTGTGTGGGTGATGTCTGGGTGAAATACAGCAGAACCAAATGAACCAGGATCAGTAAGAATGTACTGAAGAGTGAAGGCTTCAGCCCTTCGGTGCAGTTCTATAGGGATTTGAGGATCACCATGTCCTGGGACACAGATTGCCCTTCCAGCAAAGGTCAATGTGCAAAATGCAGGTGTCGTGGGGGAAGGGGTCTGTTTCGTCTGACTTTAGCTGTGGATACTTKTGGGGGCTGTGGGATTTATGCACATGACTATCTACCCATCAGTCTGCCTGGGCCAGAGCTTCAGCTCAGAGAWGCAGATTTGCTGTCCTCCCTCTCAGCCACATCACTCAGCCACTCGCTGTTTAGAGCCCAAGTTAGAGAAAGAGGTTCAGCTCTCTTTGTATTAAATCAGCCTGACAAATTGTCAGAAGAGTCAAAACACCTTTTTGTCACMCTGGAGTCCTCACGTATGAGGGGCCTTTTTATCTTTAACCAAATATTCACTGTATCTGCAGGTGCTCCTACAAAAAGTGAGCCAGGCTTGCTCAGTCTGCTCAGACAGACACACATCTTCAAAAGAACTGAGATTTCCCATACAGTAGGCTGGAAGCAATGTCAGGTTTTTCCTGACAGCTGACCAAAAATTCCCAATCTGCAAACTGTCTTGAGCAAATTGCTGCTTACTCGGGCAAAAGCTTGAAAACTGATTACATGTTCCTATGGTGGAGCAGATTTACCTGTGGGGGTCATTTATCACCTCCAATAGCTGCAGCACTGGAACAGATGTCTGGAATGCTGAAATTTAATTACTTTTATTTATAATGGATTTCACAGCCTTTCAACAGTTCTTTTTCCCCATGCCCTCCTTTCTTTGTCATTTCACAAGCAAAACCAGAGTTACTGGTCTAGTGGCATAAGGCTCCCCAAACCAACCTTCTTGGCACCRTGAGCAGTAAGCCACAGCTGTGCCAACACCCACTTTCTCCTATAAAACAGAGATTGCTGCATTTGCTTATTTATTATGGAAGTTGAATACAGGAAGAGGTGGAAATGCTCAGATGTGGTCATGAGACTGCACAAGACAAACATACTTCATTGCAGCCATGTCAGACAGAGTCGAGTTTCAGGAGTTTGAAAATTTTCTGAAAATCCCACACTTCCATGAAGAGCTTCCACTTTGAAAGTCTTTGTGGTTACCCACATCTGCTCCAGATGAGATGAAAACACATAAAGATATGACTTCAACAAATTTCATTCATGTTAATGCCTTGAGGAATGAGATGTAGATCAGGCTTTGATCTAACTTTTAATGTGATCTGACTTTTAATCAAGATGTGGTTGCTCACAACTCTTGTAGCCCTTGGCACAGTTGGCCCAAGCCAAGCTCAGAACAAATGAGTGAGAGCTGCGTGCCCGTGCTGCTGCTGTGCCTGCTGTACCTCTTCTCACCCCTGCTCAGCATCATCTCGCAGCTCCAAATTTCCCCAGGGCACTGCCTTCTGGAGAGRGCCAGACAGGATTATCTGTACTGGAAATGTTGGTGTGAAATTGATGCTGATRGCAGGGACAGCAGGAGCGGAGTCCTTGGTTACCTCTGTCACTGTGCAGCACGGGCTGCAGGCTGTCCCAGGGCCGGCCAGTGCCTGGACATCACAGCACAGTGACAAAGCCAAGGTGCTGCCCGGCTGTCGTGCAGTGTGATGCTCCCTTGACACCTCCACAGTGCTTGCAGGCYTCTCCCAGGCCACATTAGCTCTGGGCACCTACGGCCAAGCAACAGGGATTGTCGGCAGCAGAGACACCCCTGGAGCTTGCAGTGCCCCTGAGTTAAGCGCTTGAGCTGAGCACAGAGCAGGGCTTTGTCAGTCTAGATTGCCATTTGCTCAGAGAAATTATATCCTCCTGAAATGTCAGCACTGACCTTTTTTGCATCCGTTATAGACTTTCTTTTGCTTTAAGCGATTAAACATCAGAGCTTGCCTACTRTTCCTGCTATGCTTCTTTATGAGTAGCCTCAGTACTCTTCCATGGGTGAGATACTGAGATAACACTMACTGTTGCTTCAACTCTCCCGTGATCCTGGTGCCACTTCCTTTCTTCAATTCCTTTGTGTTTATCAGCACATGCTCTATGTGTCATGGATATTGCTTTTCTTCTTCAAGACCTGCAAGTGCGCACAGCTTCYCCCAGGCAGTTAAAATAATCTCCARATACCTGGATTCAAGATTCATACTAAAGTGGCACCATCTGGCCCATTTTGAAAGCAAAGCAAGCAAACCATACATATATTCCTACTTAGATCAAAAGGCAAATGCCACTCTATCTCTGCTAAAGGGCAGTCATTTATCTGAAATACCATTTTAAAGASCTAGAAATAGCTCAAAATAACTCCAGCATCTGATGCTTGAATAGAAAGGAAGCAAGCAGGATTCCGTCTAGCTATTCTTAACAGTTTTTTTTTTGTACAGACCACAATAGGAGAGCAGATCCTTTAATGAGAATATTCCTGATACCTTTTCCACTGGGAACATCTGATTCATTGCAYGGCTAGCAATGCTTCATTGAGCACGAGGAAACACAGTACTAAAGCCAGCAGGGAGAGTGGCATCTCTCCTTAAAGATATCATTTCAATCCCCACCTATTTCAACTGCATACACTAGAAATACTTTCTTGTGGTGCTRGAGAAGCCTTTGTCCTTYAYTGATCATTTCAGTRTGATTTCAAACAGGATTTGTCTTTTATTCTATTCTTGTTTGCTGTGCAGTAGTGTACTTGCCTTCCTTGTTTCCTGGAGACATTAGAAACGTACCCCTTTCAGTTTACTTTAATTTTGAGAGATCCCTAAAAGCAGCATAAACTAAAACTACTCCTACATGACGAGCAGCACAGCCAGCTCAGGGTGCTATAWTTGTGGATGTCCATTTGCTGGGATKCAGCTTGRCAGGTAACAGATTGCACTGAAGCTATCAGCTCCCTGTTATCCTGTACACGTGTGATTTATGGGATGGCTATGGGACATTCTGCATAGTCCAGAGGTAYAGCTTATGAGTGTTGTARCAGTAGTTCTGCRTGTGCAGATAACAATTTTAATACAMATACAAAGAGAGAGAGAGGGAGAAAAGCCAACAATCCCTCTCTAAATAACTCACAGCTTTGCTGTGTGCAGGCTGCATCTGCTAAATTTGTAAGAAGCAAAGTAAGGATTTGGTCATTATCTGTGGTTGATCTTCTTTTCCCTGAGCAGAGCTCAGTGATGTGTGTACCTCAGCCACTTTATAGCAATCAGKRAGAACTTCTGCATAAACTGAATTATCATCATCAGTGTAGTCCATTCTGGGAATGGCTAAAATAAAGAAATATTGAGGTACTCTAGAACTTTCTTCAGAAAGCCTGAAGAAGTGTTTTGTTTTCTTCCATCTTCTCAAAAAGATTATTTTCAACTGGTAACATATGGTGAAAAGGCCATGTTCAGCATCTAACAATAAAACATAAGCTCTTTTTAGTGGTGGTTCACTAATTTTGGAGCAAGCTATTGTACATGTGTTCCTCATGAAGAGCTG